GGTTTTACCTGACTGTGGAGGGGGCTTTTTTTCCATGACCGCTCCTTGAGCCCCTTATTCTGTGCCAAGCCCTTGCTGTGCTGGGGGCTAGGATTAGAGAGAACATCTCAGGGCCAGGCACCCCGTGCCTAGGGGGCTAAGACAGAAATAGACACTTGGCTAAGAAGTAGGAAGGGCAGGTTGAAGGGGAAATTCTGTGAGCTGTGTACGAAGGCTTTCCAAGGAGTGGAAAGCAATGCAACTAGGGCTTCAAAGCTACAAACATTTAGCTCTGGGCCAGAGGAAGGCATTGCAGGTGGAGGGGACTGCCGTTTGCATGCTTGGAACATGCAAAGCTGGAGCATGGAGGTTTAGGAGATAAAGTGGTAGCAGGTGAGCCCAAAGCTGTCAGCTAGAGCTATACTGTCCAGTATGGTTGCCAGGAGCCATAAGACACCATGGCTATTTAAATTCAGTTAGCATTAAAAATAATTAAAAATCCAGCCCCTTAGGCATCCTAGCAACACTTTAAGTGCTCAATAGCCACATTGGGCTAGTAGCTATGGAAACAGAGAGAATAGATATAGAACATTCTCCAACATCTCACAAAGTGCCTTTAGTCAGCCTCAGGAGGGTTTGGATTGCTCAAGGACCTACGGGAGAGAGCAGGCTTAGCCTGGGCTGCCTGGCCTGTGAGGCCTGGCCTGTGATGTCTCTGGACTACAGCTGAGGGAACAGTCCCCAGCAGTGTGAGGTGGTGTGACTCACCTCCTGCCAGCATAAAGTGGACTCTGCCCCCAGGGACAGGAATTAACCAGCCCCGGAGTCTTTAGCTCCAACTTGGGATCCCTGATCAGTGTGAGCAGAGGCAGAGTCAGAGAAACATGGAGTGAGTGGTACTAGGGAGGGTGGAGCAGCTGAGTGGGGCTGAGCCTGGGCACTGAGGGGGTCTCCAACGTGGTCACAGTCGGTGTGCACAGGGCTGGACGGAAAAAAGGCTGGGGAGGGTGTCTGTGAATTGGGAGGGGAGAGCACGGTGGAAGCTTGCTGGATGGGGGTGGGGTGGTTCTGTGTCAAATGATGAGAGAACGGAAACCCTCCCAGTCCACGGTAATGAGCTGTTTCTGCTTCCTTCCCAGGTCCAATGCAGTCCAGCTGACGAGGATGGAATACGCCATGAAGTCCCTCAGCCTTCTCAACCCCAAGTCCCTCTCCAGGTGAGGAGAGCCGAGGGTGAACAGGAAGGGGAGCTACCTGTGAGCGGTAGGGCAGAACTTCTCAAATTTCAGTGGCACATAAGTCACTTGTGTATCTTCGTAAAGTGCAGGTTCTGATTCAGGGGCTCTGTAATGGGACCCAGATTACCACCACACTGCTTGTGCTTTTATTCTTGATCTCATTTCAGCCTCACCACGGCTTTGGGAAGTGGGGATGATTATGCCAAATTAATAGACAAGGGGACTGGGGCACAGAGTGGATGCTTTCGATTACCTAGCAAATGGATAGTGGGGCCAGGATTCTCACTTTGCCTGCCGTACTCCAAAACCCAGGTTCCCTCCACTCCGTTGGTTCTACATTGTGTTATGTCAGAGCACAAAAACACCTTACACTGACGTCAGCTTCGCCACTTTATCTCACTTTACAGGTGAGAAGAGTGAGGCCAAGAGAGGAAAGTGGAATTGGGGGAGTGTGGGTGGGTCTTCTATCACTCTGTCCCCCCTCATGGTCGGAGAACCCGCAGAGTCAATATCACTTGGGAATTTTTTAGACACATAGAATCTCACACTCCACTCAGACCTACTGAATCAGAATCTGCACTTCACCAAGATCCCCACAGGACTTGGATGCCCATTAAAGTCTCAGATGCACTGATGTGGCTGACTTTTGAGTAAGACTATCTAGAGCAGGCCTGGTAGGTGGTAGGGGAGGAGGAATATGGTGAACTTAGCCTACAGGGATTGCTATGGGGTGAGAGCTGGGAAGCAGCAGGCAGTTTATTCTAATGCCCCAAACCACCCCCAGGTATGTGGCAGTGAGCACCTCGGTGGTCACCCAGCAGCTGCTGTCGGAGCCCAGCCCGGAGCCCCTCAGAGCCCGGCCCTGCAGAGTGAGCACCCAGGACCGGAGTGTGCGGAAAGGCATCACGGCGCACAGCCTGGAGGACCTCCTCCACAAGGTGAGGGGCGGGCCTGACCTCTGCACAGCCCAACCACTGGGACCTTGGCTCAGAGTTGGCCCTGCCTGCTGCCTCTGTCCTCCAGGTCATGAGCTGCAAGTTCAGTAAAGATGAAGTTCATGGCTTACATGGCGAAAAGATTTCCTTTTTCAGGCCAGGTCACGTGGGTTGGAAGTGCCTGCCTGGAGTGCTGTCCAGTTGACTAGTGATGTCTGTCTGTTGACAGGGGGAGGGCAGTATATTGCTTTCCTATATCAACATCAGTGGTATTTTCAGAGCAGAATTGCTCCCTGGAAGGATCCTTAGGTTGCCTTTTACAGTTGTTCTTAAACTTGTAGAAGTGCCTGGAAGTTGGGGAAATGGGCAACTGTCTTCCCTTCTCCATCTCCTCCCTTCAGCCAGGGCAGTTCTCCTCAGTCTGTTTCCCATACTGACCTTCCACATAAGGATTTTTTAATAGCTGTAGAAGACTTTCTTCAAACTGTTAATCAGTGAAGCTTCCAGGGGAGAAAACCAAGGATATACAACGCTTGTGGATGGTAGTCACAGCAGGCAAGAATGACACCCTTCCCCATTTCCAGCTTCCTCTCCACTGCTTGAGGGTATCGTCCTCCGTTGCCCGGCCTACAGCCTCATCTGTTCTGGCTCCATATTACTCATGTGCTTCACTGCCCCACTAACTTATCAGCTCCAGGGTGTGGGACCCTGCTCATCTGCAAGTCCAAGTGCCTGACACAGATCAAATGTTTGAATTAGGCTTCCAATTACTAGTCTGTTTAACATATAGAAATCATAGCTCGCCCTAGCTGGTTTGGCTCAGTGGATAGAGCGTTGTCCTGTGGACTGAGGGGTCCCAGGTTCAATTCTGGTCAAGCGCACATGCCAGGGTTGCAGGCTCAATCCCCAGTAGGGGGTGTTCAGGAGGCAGACGATCAATGATTCTCTCTCATCATTGATGTTTCTCTCTCTCTCTCTCTCTCCCCCTCTCCCTTCCTCTCTGCAATCAATAAAAATACATTTTTTTTTAAGAAAAAGATAATAGTAAGCCACTGGAGGATTTTTTAAAATGAAAACTAATTTTGAAACAATCTCAAACTAACAAAATTTGCAAGAGCAATGAGACTTCCTGAAGCACTTGAGAGCAAGTTGCCAGCCTAATGCCTGTCATTCTTGGATACATCAATGTGTGTTTTCTCCAGACAAGGATATTCTCCTATATAATGACAATACAACCATCAAAATCAGGCAAAATACAATATTATATAACTACCATTTGATCTTGAGACTACATTCAAGTGTTTGCAATTATTCCAATAATGTGCTTTGTAGCAAAAGGACCCAGGTCAGGATCAAGTGTTCTATTTAATTGTGAATCTCTCTTTTTAAAAAAATTTTAACTTATTGATTTTAAAGAGAGAGAGAAATGAAGAGGAAGAGACAGAGACATTGACTTGTTGTTCCATTTATTTATGTATTGATTAGTTGATTCTTGTATGTGCTCTGACTGGGGATTGAACCCACAACTTTGGTGTATTGGAGGATGCTCTAACCAACTAAGCTACTGGCCAGGGAATTTAATTTCTCTCTCTCTCTCTCTCTCTCTCTCTCTCTCTGGCTTAATCCTCACCCAAGGATAATTTCCCATTGATTTTTAAAGAGAGTGGGAGGGAGGGAGAGCTAGAGAAACATTGATGTGAGAGAGACCTGCACCAGGGAGAGACCTGCAATCCAGGTACCTGCCCTTGACCAGGAATTAAACCCGCCACCCTTTGGTGCACTGGCTGATGCTCTACCACTGAGCAACACTGGCCAAACCTGTGCACCTCTTTGTCTCCTTCACTATGAAACAGTTCCTCAATTTCCTTGGCATTCATGACCTTTACTATTTTGAAGATTAAAAGCCAGTTATTTTGTTTATGCTTCTTTAGTTTAGAATTATTTAATTGCATACAATTTTGATTTGTTTAACTTTGAATATTTGAATAAAAAGGTATGGTCAGGGCCCTGGACAGGTAGATCAGTTAGTGGGAGTGTTGTCCCAAATACTAAGGTTGAGAGTTCAATCCCCAGTCAGAGCACATACAAAAATAAGTGGAACAACAACTCTCTCCCTCTCTCTCTCTCTCTCTCTCTCTCTCATTAAATAAAAAAAAAGTTTTTAAAGGTACAGTCAGGCTTCTCTATATAAAGTTATTATTTTTTCCTTTCTGTTAATTATTTTCTAGAGAAGTACTTTGCACTAAGTAAAATCTCATTCTGCATCTAAATTTCAATTTATTTACTTACTTATATCAAAAAGGACTCAAGTATCATCACTTAAATGGGATATAAGGATGGTAACAGATTATTTATTGATGCTCAAATTGTTGCAGACTTGGCCAGTGAGACTCCCTTCAGCCCTATTTCTGTGTTGTGCTTTCTTTCTGGCACAACAAGGTATTACAGGATCATCTTGTACTTTTCCTGCCCTAGCCCTAGAGTTCACCATTTTTTCTAAGAAGGTCTGTTTCACTGTAGTGAAGAATGGTATTCAGAAACCAAGATCTGGGAGCTAGGTGTGTTCATTGCTGTTGATGTGTTGCTCATCCCAGGCCTATATTAAAGGATTTTAAGCAGAAAAATATCTTCTCTAACAAATCCAAGAAAAGTAAAGTGAAAATTCTACTATTCCAAGAGAATTAACAGTGTGACTGTGACTGTCCTAAATAGTCTATCCTTATATATAACTTAAATGGGGTTATGTAGTATAGAGCTGACTTTTCATCCTATAACATTTTATGGGTATCTTTCCATTTTAATCAGTATAGTATAAATTTTAGTAAATGGACACTACGGACTAGGGACTCTGCCAAATGACTTATATATAGCATTTCTTATAATCATCACCTTGAGGTAGTTACAATTATTCCCATTTTTAGGGGCAGAGGCCAAGTGTATTCACTGGGATTTAAACCCAAGCTATCATCTCACACTTTTGCATTTAATTGTTGTAAGGATTCTAATGTACTTGCCTCAACTTTTTAGATTATGAAACTAGTTTAGAGAAATTAGGTGACTTAAGTTCAGAACAATGAAGTAGAGAAGCTAGAATTCAAACCTATGTCTCTTTATCGCTAGAGTTGCACTATCCAATGCAGTAGCTACTAGTTATATGTGGTTACTAAATTCTTGAAATTTATCTAGTTGAAATTGAGATGTGTTTACATATAAAGTGCATATAAGATTTTGAAGACTTAATATGGAAAAAATGTAAAATCTTATAAAATTTTTATCTTAGTTATATATATTTTAGATTGAATTAAATATATTACATGTAATTCCACCTGTTTTTATTTTAATGTGGCTATTAGAAATTTTATTTATTTATTTATTTATCCTCATCAGAGGATATTTTTCCCATTGATTTTTAGAAAGAGTGGAAGGGAGAAAGGGGGAGAGAGAGACACACACATCAATGTGAGAGAGACACATCAATTGGTTGCCTCTCTGAGGTGCCTAGACAGGGATCAAACTTGCAACCCAGGTACATGCCCTTCAGTGCACTGGGTCGAAGCCCTATCCACTTAGCAACACCGGCCAGGGTATGCTATTAGAAAATTCAAATCAATGGAATATAATTGAAAGTCCAGAAATAAACCCATGTATCTATGGTCAATTGATTTTTTTACAGGGTGCCAAGACTATTCATAGAGAAAGAATACTCTTTTCAACAAATGGTGGTGGCACAATGGGATAACCACATACAAAAAATAAAATTGGATCCCTACCTCACACTATGTACAAAATTAAGTCAAACTAGATTAAAAAGCTAAATGTAGATCTAAAACTATACAGCCCTTAGAAGAAAACATAGGTGTAAGTCTTCATGACTTTGGTTTCTTAGATATGGCACCAAAGCACAACCAACCAAAAAGGGGAAAAATCAACATTAAAAACTTGTTTTGCATCAATAGACACTATGAAAAAATGAAAAGACAACTCACAGAATGGGAGAAAATATTTGTGAATCACATATCTCATAAGGATCGAGTATCCAGACTATATAAAGAACTCATAACTCAATAAAAAAAGACAACCTATTTAAAAATGGACAAAGAGTTTGAGTGGATGTTTCTGTAAAGAATGTAATACAAATGTGTAACAACACATAAAAATGTATTCGACATCTTAGTCATTAGGGAAATGTAAATCAGAATCACTTCATTCCCAATTGCCTGACTAAAATAAAAGATAGACAAAAACAAGTGTTGATGAGGTTGTGTAGAAATTGGAATCCTCATACATTGCTGGTGGGAATATAAAATGATGCAACTGCTTTTGAAAACAGTTTGGTAGTTCCTTAAAAAGTTAAACATGGGGTCAACTATATGACTCAGCAGTGTCACTCCTAGGTATATACCCAGGAAAACAGGAAATATATTTTCACCCAAAAATTTGTATAGGAATGATCATAACAGCATTATTTGTGATACTCAAAAAGGGAAACAATCACAGGTCTATCAATTGATGAATCAATTAAAAATGTAGCATATCTATATTTTAGAATATGATTCAAACATACAGAGGAGGGAATCATGTTCCAACATGGGTGAACCTTGAAACATACTAAGAAGCCAGTGTAAAAAGACCACATAATGTATGATTCTGTTTACATGAAATGTCCAGAACAGCCAAATCCTGTAAAGTAGAAGTTGTTATGGATTGGGAAATGGGGAATGACTACTAATGGGTACTGGGTTTCTTTTGATTCTGAAATTAGGTAGTGGTGGTGGTTGCATAACTTTGTGAAGGTAGGGGAAAACACTAAATTGTATACTCTAAAAGGTCGAATTTTATAGCATACGAATTATATCTCAATAGAAGTTTACACATGTAACTTCCATTATATTTTTACTGGACAGCACTCTTCTAGAATATTAACCATGATGCCAGGTACCAAGAGATACCACAATAGTCTTTGGATGGTGATCTCACAGAAACAGCCTGAGCTGCAGTCCCATTCCATAGACCCTGGGCCACTTGTTCTTTCCCTGTGTTGTGATGTGGGTCTTCCCCATACCAGCTCTGTGGCTGTGTGGGGGTGGCAAAAGCATCACTAACCTTATTCGTCAGGTCCGGGACACCCTGATGCTGGCAGACAAGCCCTTCTTCCTGGTGCTGGAGGAAGACGGCACAGTGGTAGAGACAGAAGAGTATTTCCAAACGCTGGCAGACGACACGGTGTTCATGGCCCTCCAGAAGGGGCAGAAATGGCAGCCCCCATCAGACCAGGTGAGGTGCCACCTGTGGAGGGAGAACATGGGGAATCAGAAGTCCTTGAGGGGTGCCAACCACACACTTGTCTTGATTCAGGGCTCTAGGTACCAACTCTCCCTCTCCCATAAGCCTGCCAAGAAGATCGACGTGGCCCGAGTAACCTTTGACCTGTACAAGCTGAACCCACAGGACTTCATAGGCTGCCTGAATGTAAAGGCAACTCTCTATGGCACATACTCCCTTTCCTACAACCTTCATTGCTATGGGGCCAAGCGCGTCATGAAGTGAGTACATTGGGATTCGCTGGGGGCAGGGTGGGTATGCAGCAATGGAGAGCCCTTATCTGCTCACATGGACCTCAGCCTTTTAGGGCCTGGAACTGGTATTGATGCTGACAAAGCATGACAGCATGTGCTAGATCTTACGGCTGAATTAGTGCTTTACATTTCACTCATGTATGCCAAAGGGGCACACATACTCCTCCAGGTAGAACTGGGATATATTTAGTTTTTCTAATTATCTTCTATTATAGTAATTATTTTTTTCACTTAAAACAGTAAATTTTCCTAAGTAGTCTTCTAATCTGTTAAAAATGAACATGTGTCAGAGAGTTTATTGAATTCACTAATTAATGAGAGAAAAGAAGTTACAATCAGTTCCAAGGAGAATTCAAAACCCCACCCATATGTATGTTCATCAAGAATGTTGATGCCAAAACCGGTTTGGCTCAGTGGATGGAGCGTCGGCCTGCGGACTGGAGGGTCCCAGGTTCAATTCCGGTCGAGGGCATGTATCTTGGTTGCGGGCACATTCCCAGTGGGAGATGTGCGGGAGGCAGCTGATCGATGTTTCTCTCTCATCGATGTTTCTAACTCTCTATCTCTCTCCCTTCCTCTCTGTAAAAAATCAATAAAATATATTTTTTTAAAAAAGAATGTTGAAATAGCCCTATCCGGTTTGGCTCAGTGGATAGAGCATTGGCCCAAGGACTGAAGGGTCTGGGATTTGATTCCGGTCAAGGGCATGTACTTTGGTCCTGGGCTTGATTCCCAGTAAGGGGCGTGCAGGAGGGAGCTGATTGATGTTTCTCTCATCTAACTCTCTATTCCTCTCCCTTCCTCTCTGTAAAAATCAATAAAATATACTTTTAAAATATATTTTTTATTGATTTCAGAGAATTTCAAAGTATTTTTATGTGTAGATGTTTATGGTTCTAACTGTCTTTCTGCCCTCCACCTCTACCTCCACCAGAATTTATTTATTTATTTATTTTGAGACAGAGGGAGAGAAAAAACATTGGTTGTTCCACTTATTTATGCATTCATTAGTTGCTTCTTTTTAAAAAAATATATTTTATTGATTTTTCACAGAGAGGAAGGGAGAGAGATAGAGAGCTAGAAACATCGATGAGAGAGAAACATCGACCAGCTGCCTCCTGCACGCCCCCCACGGGGGATGTACCCACAACCCAGGCACAGGCCCTTGACCGGAATCGAACCCGGGACCCCCCAATCCGCAGGCCGACACTCTATCCACCGAGCCAAACCGGTCTCGGCCATTAGTTGCTTCTTGTACGTGCCCTGACCGGGGATTGAACCCGCAATCTTAGCATATAGGGACTGACCAGGGTCTCCATCCAGAATTTATTAAATGAAGGTTAATAGAAGACAAGTTTTAAAATTAACCAGGAAATACTTATTTTCCTTTTGTTTTCCCCTCCCTGATCCCCCCCTGGGACTGACACCACTAGTGACTCTCACCTATCTTTTAAACAGATTTGGCTAAGAACTTACTTAAAGTAGTCAAGCAGTCAACCAGTTACTCTTGACCCCACATTTCCCCTACTCTTCTACACATCAGACCCCATGTTAAGTGATTTATGCTATTTCAACCTCCTAACCCTGTGTGGGATCACTATGATCCCAGGGTCTACCACAGATGTTGTGAAGGGCAGAGTTATGATCTTCATGTTTTGTAGATCAATATAACATCATCTACATAACATGAGATGTAGATGATGTTATATTGGTTGGTCCAAGTAGTATTACAAAAATAATAGGTCTTGTTAGACCCAAGGGTCTTGGGTTCAATTCCTGGTCAAGGGCATGTACCTCAGTTATGGTTCAATCAGTTCAATCAGAGTACATGCGGGAGGCGCCCAATCAATGTGTCTCTCACATCGACATTTCTTTCTCTCTCTCCCCGGCCCCTTCTCCCTCCCTTTCACTCTCTCTAAAAATCAATGGAAAAAATATCCTCCAGTGAGGATTAAAATACATAAATTAAACAAACAAACAAATAAATGGCCTTGTTAAATGAGCTTGAATTTTGGACATCTCAATTAAGGTACAATTGCAGGTAATGCCTGTAGACCCTTTCCCATTTGCTGGGGGAAGGCAGCATCTGTTCCTATTTGCATATCACTCTGCAAGTTATGAAATTAGTAAGGAAGCATGGGGGAGGAGCATTTAGGAGATGCAGCCAGGAGTTTTCTCTGTATTTTAACTCTACTGCCTTCTCATTCCACCCAGGGAAGCTCTTCGCTGGGCCCTCTTCAGCATGCAGGCCACAGGCCACATGCTGCTCGGCACCTCCTGTTACATGCAGCAGCTTCTGGATGCCACAGAGGAGGGGCAGCCCCCTAAGGGCAAGGCCCCATCCCTCATCCCGACCTGTCTGAAGATACTGCAATGAAGGCCCAAGTCCTCGAAGGCCTTCTCCAGCCAAGGACTAGCCTGGGAACCCCGTGCTCAGCTGGTAGTGCCCACAAGCCTGGCAGTTAGAGAGCTTCTAACCTCCCTACATCTCCCTCACCCACACAGGACTATGAATGTGGAAGCAGGGGGGAGGGCTGGAAGCCTGGGATGGGATGGCCAAAGGAGAGTTGAGGGTTTTTGTCCGGGCCTAGCTCCTCCCTGTCCAAGGTAGCTTAGCTGACCAAGACTGTTCGCTGGCAGGCTAGACACGAAGTCTGCCCCTCGGCTGCCGGTCCTCACATGCTGTACTTTCATCACACTCCCTACCTCCTGGCCCCCATCCCTAATACTCCTGAGTGAATTGTCAGGCCCATTAGTATATGATATTAGAGAGTTGGCAATAAATGGTTCATGCTGATACATCTTTGCCTGTGTTCTTTGGAGATGAGGGTGGAGTTCTATCTGGAAGGTTGGACAGCTA